AGAACTATCAATATGCAAAACTTCATGAGATTCCACTGAGGGCCAGTTCCCATAAGGTTTCTGCGGGGTCCTTTCTAGTTAAAAATTAAATTTATTAAAAAATTGAAGGTGGTTGTTGGTTTTGAGTGTTTTGACGTATTGGTGCGAGCACCAAACACTAGTCCCAGATTGAGCCAAAGTTTCATGCCAATAACTTTACAGGTTTCCAAAATATGGCCCTTTAGAATATTTCAAAATCAAATTCCCATGCATACCCCTTTGGAAAAATTCGAATTTTTAAATTTTTGGATTTTGCAATGTTTGACTTTACCAATCAAAAGAGGAGATCAAAATTAGTGAAAAAGCATTTTTTCAACTTTGTTTTTAGAGTTTTAAAGCCTTGTAAAAAAATAAAAACGATTTTTGCAATTTTTGGGCTCAAAAAATTTCAATAATCTGACATTCTTTTACAAAATTGCTGATTCCTCGGTTATTATTGTAACAAATATAATGTAGAATTATATATTCTGAATCAGAATTAAATTATATTCAAGATAAAATAAGATTCAATTCTATATCTTAAATACTTCTGAAGATGTTGAGGCTCAAAGTTGAAACTTTACCTCGAATTTTGCAAAAGCTTCCAGGCAGATTATCTTGAAAACGAAGCCCTTGGGCTCGGAGTCTTAAATAACCTTTTTTGTAGCCCTTATTAAGAGTTACAATTGGGCGAAAGATTCATGCCAATAACTCCACTAGTTTCCAAAATATGATCCTTTGAAATATTTGGAAATCAAATTTCCATGCATACCTCTTTGGAAAAGTTCAAATTTTTAAATTTTCGGTTTTTCGAATTTTTGACTTCACCAATCGAAAGAAGAGGTTAAAATTAGTAGTAAAGCATTTTCGCAACTTTCCTTTTTGGGTTTTAAAGCCTTGTTAAAAACTAAAAACGATTTTTGCAATTTTTGGGCTCAAAAAATTTCAATAATTTGACATTTTTTCACAAAATTGCTGATTCCTCGGTTATTATTGTAACAAATATAATGTAGAATTATATATTCTGAATCAGAATTAAATTATATTCAAGATAAAATAAGATTCAATTCTATATCTTAAATACTTCTGAAGATGTTGAGGCTCAAAGTTGAAACTTTATCTCAAATTTTGCAAAAGCTTTCAGGCGGATTATCTTGAAATCGAAGCTTTTGGGGTCGGAGTCTTAAATAACCTTTTTTGTAGCCCTTGTTAAGAGCTACAATTGGGCAAAAGATTCATGCCAATAACTCCACTAAGTCCCAAAATATGATCCTTTGAAATATTTAGAAATCAAATTTCCATGCATACCTCTTTGGAAAAGTTCAAATTTTTAAATTTTCGGTTTTTCGAATTTTTGACTTCACCAATCGAAAGAAGAGGTTAAAATTAGTAGAAAAGCATTTTCGCAACTTTCCTTTTTGGGTTTTAAAGCCTTGTTAAAAAATAAAAACGATTTTTGCAATTTTTGGGCTCAAAAAATTTCAATAATCTGACATTCTTTCACAAAATTGCTGATTCCTCGGTTATTATTGTAACAAATATAATGTAGAAGTCTATATTCTGAATCAGAATTAAATTATCTTCAAGATAAAATAAGGTTCAATTCTATATCTTAAATACTTCTGAAGATGTTGAGGCTCAAAGTTGAAACTTTATCTCAAATTTTGCAAAAGCTTTCAGGCGGATTATCTTGAAATCGAAGCTTTTGGGGTCGGAGTCTTAAATAACCTTTTTTGTAGCCCTTATTAAGAGCTACAATTGGGCAAAAGATTCATGCCAATAACTCCACTAGTTTCCAAAATATGATCCTTTGAAATATTTGGAAATCAAATTTCCATGCATATACTACCCCTTTGGAAACGTTCAAATTTTTAAATTTTCAGTTTTTCGAATTTTTGACTTCACCAATCGAAAGAAGAGGTTAAAATTAGTAGAAAAGCATTTTCGCAACTTTCCTTTTTGGGTTTTTAAGCCTTGTTAAAAAATAAAAACGATTTTTGCAATTTTTGGGCTTAAAAAATTTCAATAATCTGACATTCTTTCACAAAATTGCTGATTCCTCGGTTATTATTGTAACAAATATAATGTAGAATTATATATTCTGAATCAGAATTAAATTATATTCAAGATAAAATAAGGTTCAATTCTATATCTTAAATACTTCTGAAGATGTTGAGGCTCAAAGTTGAAACTTTATCTCAAATTTTGCAAAAGCTTTCAGGCGGATTATCTTGAAATCGAAGCTTTTGGGCTCGGAGTCTTAAATAACCTTTTTTGTAGCCCTTATTAAGAGTTACAATTGGGCGAAAGATTCATGCCAATAACTCCACTAGTTTCCAAAATATGATCCTTTGAAATATTTGGAAATCAAATTTCCATGCATACCCCTTTGGAAAAGTTCAAATTTTTAAATTTTCAGTTTTTCGAATTTTTGACTTCACCAATCGAAAGAAGAGGTTAAAATTAGTAGTAAAGCATTTTCGCAACTTTCCTTTTTGGGTTTTTAAGCCTTGTTAAAAAATAAAAACGATTTTTGCAATTTTTGGGCTCAAAAAATTTCAATAATCTGACATTCTTTTACAAAATTGCTGATTCCTCGGTTATTATTGTAACAAATATGATGCAGAATTATATATTCTGAATCAGAATTAAATTATATTCAAGATAAAATAAGATTCAATTCTATATCTTAAATACTTCTGAAGATATTGAGGCTCAAAGTTGAAACTTTATCTCAAATTTTGCAAAAGCTTTCAGGCGGATTATCTTGAAATCGAAGCTTTTGGGCTCGGAGTCTTAAATAACCTTTTTTGTAGCCCTTATTAAGAGCTACAATTGGGCAAAAGATTCATGCCAATAACTCCACTAGGTCCCAAAATATGATCCTTTGAAATATTTGGAAATCAAATTTCCATGCATACCTACCCCTTTGGAAACGTTCAAATTTTTAAATTTTCAGTTTTTCGAATTTTTGACTTCACCAATCGAAAGAAGAGGTTAAAATTAGTAGAAAAGCATTTTCGCAACTTTCCTTTTTGGGTTTTAAAGCCTTGTTAAAAAATAAAAACGATTTTTGCAATTTTTGGGCTCAAAAAATTTCAATAATCTGACATTCTTTCACAAAATTGCTGATTCCTCGGTTATTATTGTAACAAATATAATGTAGAATTATATGTTCTGAATCAGAATTAAATTATCTTCAAGATAAAATAAGATTCAATTCTATATCTTAAATACTTGTGAATATATTGAGGCTCAAAGTTGAAACTTTACCTCAAATTTTGCAAAAGCTTCAAAGCCGATTATCTTGAAAATGAAGCCCTCTTGGGCTCGAAGTCTTGAATAACCTTTTTTGAAGCTCTTATTGAGAGCTACAATTGCCAGAGTCCCAGCTAGAACCCGAAAAATGAAAATAGAGATAAAAAGTCAAAAAAGTTGACAGAAACTTTTTCTGATTATACAACTCACTGTACATTATTCCCATATGACACGAGAGGCTTAATACGTGATAAGCCTTTTGGGATTATCGCGCTTGGTGGCATTTATGGCAAATTTTATTATAGAATTTTTTTTTAATTTTAAAGTATTGAAGTTTAGTTCGTTGTATAACCTTTTGAATACCACTCGATGTTTCAGGATTACCTAATAATTTTACCTGACACTCAACGCGTTACCAGCAACAACACTCCTCCTCCGGAGTCGTGGTGTTGCTGCGTAACGCGTTTCGTGACAGGTAAAAGTATTATCCGGTAATCCTGGAACCTCTTGTGGTATTACATTCGATAATTTTTCTTGGAACCTGATAATTTTGTTCTCAAATCCTGATAATTTTAAATTTGACATCTGACAACACTGCCAAAAACTCATAACCTTTAACGGCCACGCAGTGGTCTGCCAGACAACTGGAGAAAATCATTTTCGGTTATTTTGAAAATACTTGTGTTTTGAGAGGTGGGGGTTTATGTACCTACCTTTCAGTGGATCACTGTCCCACACATCAGTAATGATATAACGTCAGTGGAGTGAGCAGGGATTTTTTTATGATACATGCTTGTCTGTTAGACCACAGAGTAGCGATTATTTAAATACATCTAGATGACCCAAAATTTCAAAAATGGGCACAAAATCTTTCGATTATTCAGATTTTGATCAACTTGATAACGATATAGATAACGAAGAACACTTAGATACACTCAAAGCTGGTGCGAAGCAACTTATTGACAATTTTCCAGCCTCTGAGGAAGTACCTACCTTAGTACCTACCTATATAGAGTCTATTATTTTCAAGAGAAATTATAAATGATATAATTTTTCATATTATTAAAAAAATTACAGGAGGTAAGCTGAGTTTGTTTGCTAACAGTTTCTAATTTTTTTTGAACCAAATTTTGGATATAATTCGAGATTAATTTGAATTTTAAAACACGAATTCTAATGGTGTGTCTGTGAGACCACTCCGTAGCGGTTAAGTTTTCGCTGTCTTATATGGAGCTGCACGAAATTCAACCTACTTGAAGGCTTTCAGAAGAAGCTGTTTTATTGCAAGAAATTGCCCAGAATCTGGCAACACGGTATGGGTTTCATCAGGGATGACTTTCCAAATATAAAGAATCCACCCCCTTGGACTTAAATTAACCGCCTTCTTTGGTATTTTCTCAATGAAACCCTTGATAAAACTGATGCCTACCATAGAAACTGTCGAGAATAGAATGCAGTAGAAATTCCTAGAATTATCTAGAAAATTCTAAAAGGATTGTAGTGGGTTTAAATGGAGATGGCTTTTCCTTAGGGCGAGTTATTTATAAATGGGACTAAATCAGTTTTCATGTTTTCTTTTACATAGAACCTCCTAGCTATTAATAATTTCGAAAAGGCTGAGAGGTCCAAAATCCTTGTCCAGAATAACACAAAATAAAGGCAAAAAATAACTCTGATTGATTTTTTCTAAAAAAATTCAAATATAAAAACAAAAGTTCACTTACCTTATTAATAGAAATCAAATGTTGATTGCTACAAGGTTGACTCACCACCGTTCCAGGCTTGGTTTCTTTCCAGCAATAGTACCCATCGAAAACTCTGGCACAGTAACCAGCTATAGCGTGAGAATCTTCGTTTTCGAAACACTTACTTTCCAAATAGTCGATTATTTGTTCGGCGATTTTATCGATATCGTGGGAACTATTAGCCATTGTGATGATGATATGTTTTCTCAACAATAATTGTTTTCGCACTGTGTGTTGGTTGGCACCGAGAAAAGTAAAGTGATACACGGGGCGGCGATTGGGATTCAATAATAAACACAAATTTAATTTTTGTATTGGTGTTTATTTTCTCTTGGCTGTCTGTATGATGGATTATATAAAATGTTATTATTATTAAACGTGATTTTTGTATTATCTTACTTGGGTTTGGGTAAACAATCACGTATGCTAATATTTGTGTGTAGGTATTTTTTCTTTTTTTAATCTTCGATAGTAGGTTTTTTTTTAAGGGTGCAGTTGACGTTTTATGAGAAATTATTTGTTGACTTTACACCCAAGAGTATTATAATGTACCTACTTATAATAATTATTTGTCTACAGGAAGAAGTACCTAAGTACATATGATTTTTTTTGAACAAATAAATAAGTAGTCCTCCTAATCTTATCAATTAGAAAAATTCACTTATTTAATAAATCGCTAAGCTTTTATTAATAGATCATTTATTGGTTCACTAAATGAGTTTTTTTCCCAATTAAAAATAAAGTGGCTCTAATAATAAAAGATTGTAGTGAATTGGGAATCAATTTGGCCAAAGAATTATTGGAAAATGGTACAAAAGTAAAACCGAATTCCTTGAAATAAGCTATCGTTGCCCTTATCATATTGATATCTCGATGACGGTATTTTACCTTAATTACGTTAATAGATGATTATTCAATTTCTAGTACGTAGATTATAATGAAATGAGGACCCATCAGGAATTTTCCAAAATCTAAATCATACGGTAGGTAGGTACACCTTCGCACTAAAACAATGAAATTTCAATTTTTTTTTTTGAAAAAGGCACTCAGAAAAATTGAAAAATTAATAAATTGCCCCAAATTGCTTAACACGATTTTATCTCAGGAATTATAAGTGCAATGCAGGAAAATGCAAAACCTGTAATATACTACTCAAAACGAAATAACGACCACTTTTAAGAGCAGGGTTTTCATTAAATTTTGTATAATTCTGGTAAAGTGACTATTTCCATTTACAATAAGTATAGATAAACAAATAAAGTGTGCACAAAAAATTTATATTGTGAATGGAAATAAACACTTTACCAGGGATATTCAAAATTCATTAAAAATAGATGGGTTTTCAAAAGTGGTCCTTATTTCGTTTTGACTAGTTTACAATGCAACAGGAAGGTTCCTTTTTCTATTCATGACATTTTGAAAACAACTTTAGAAAATTTAGAGAAGAAAAACATAATAGAAAAAATGAACTATCCTACAGATTGGGTTAACAGCTTAATGATCACCGAAAAACCAGATAAATCATTTCGAATCTGTATTGACCCTAACCCCACACCTGACACCATGTTTTGTCTGGTTTTATTAAATAATAATCCACTTTATTTAAGCATCATTGACTATTTATTTTAAGTTTTTACAGGTTTTTTTAAATAGGGTGCTAAATACGGTCTTTTGATACCTCCCGCCAAAATCTATCAACCGTCATAATGATCAAATGTCATTCATTGTCCGTTTGCGCTCTTCTTCTTCCTCTTCTTAAAATAACTGGCCTTAACACTAAACTATATGATAAATTACATATACATAACACTTTCAAAAGAAATATGAAAATAACAAACAGTGGCAACGCTGTGAAATAATATGAATTTCATTTATTTTGACGTTTTTGACATGTATCAAGCCTCACAAGCTTTTAACACAAAATTTTAAAATTCCAAAAAAAAAAAAAACAGTGGCAACGCTGTAAAATAATATAAACTTCTCTTGTCTTGACGTTTTTGACAATTAAAAAATCAAAAGTCAAGCGTCACGAGCCTATAAAACGAAATTTTAAAATTCCAAGAAAAAAAACAAACAGTGGCAGCGTTGTAAAATAATATGGACTTCATTTATTTTGATGTTTTTGACAAGCATCACAAGCCTACAACGCGAAATTTTAGAATTCTAAGAAAAAAAAACAAACAGTGACAACGCTGTAAAATAATAAAAACTTTTTTATCTTGACGTTTTTGACAATTAAAAAAATCAGAAATCTAGCTTCACAAGCTTATAAAACGAAATATTGAAATTCCAAGAAAAAAAAAACAAACAGCGGCAACGCTGTGAAACTATTTGATTTATCCCACTTTATCTCTGTCTTTTTCATAACTATTGAATTTCTTATGTCGTTTTCTTTGTTCTACTCTTATAGTCTAGGCTTTTTATTGGCCAAATACAAAAAATACATAAGCTCATTGAAGCGCTGGGAATAATTAAAATTCGTGTCACACTTTTTCATATCCCATTTTATTTCCGCCTCTTTCCTATTTATTCAATTTCTTATATTTTTGTCCCTTTATTATTCCAAGCTCTTGGCCACTCTGCAATCAAACGCCGAAAATAATTAAAGTTTGCATCACTATTTGATGTGTTCTACTTTATCTCTGTCTTTTTCTTAACTGGTAAATTTCCTATGTCGTTTTCTTGTCTTGTCTTGTCTTACTAAAGCCTAAAATAGGCACATAGGCTTTTTATTGGCCAGACACAAAAATCACATACAAACGAACTTAAACACCGGGGATAATTAAAATTCGTGTCACATTTTTTCTTTTTCAACTTTATTTCCATCTCTTTCTTATTTATTGAGTTTCTTATATTGCTGTCTATTATTTTAAGCTCTTGGCCACTCAAGCGCCAAGAATAATTAAAGTTTGCGTCACTATTTAATTTATCCCACTTTATCTCTGTCTTTTTCTTAACCGCCAAGTTTCTTACGTCGTTTTCTTTGTCCTACTTGTTTAGTCTATAGATTTTCTGGTAATGGGAAACAGATGGCATCATCTGGGGTGCTAATACTAATAGAGATTTGCATTATGTTTAGGTACCCCACATGATGAGTTATCAGATAACCTGGCTTTTTGTTGACCAAATACAAAAATTTTATTCAAGTACCGAAAATATTCAAATATTGCCAGGAATATTTAAAAATTAAATTTTAAACCGAATCAAGAGCCGGGAATTTTCGAAAATTGAATTTTAACGTCAATCAAAAGTTGGGATGATTGAAAAAATTGAATTTTAAAGCCAATCAAGAACCGAGAATATTCAACAGATCAAGAAAAGACGGTCCTTGGGGACATTATAAATGCAACAGAATGCCTTTTGGATTAGTGAATTCACCAGCTATCTGGCAACGATTAATGATGTGTATTCTTTCCAAGTTTATTGGAACACTACGTATACTTGGATGATATTATATTATTTTTATCAGGAAATATTGATATATATTGAATTTTGAAATGTTGAAACGATCGGTTGAGAAATAGCGGAGCTATAAACGAAAAAGTAACATCGTGTCAGATCGCCGCAATTTTTATCTGGCCAAAATCGAAATATCCTTTTCTAATTTTTTTCCCGGCCTTAAAATGCGTCATAGCAAGCAGGGTCCCATAAGCTTTTCAACGGTTTTTTTTGCTCCCCTATCTGATGTTTTTTTTTTTTTTGGAAATTCGGAAAAAAAATTCAAAATCAAGAAAGATGGGGAGGCTAATTTTTTTCCGGTACATCGGACAGAACTGAAACTCGGAATATCGACTAAAAATCACATTTTGAATATTCGGGCTCGCGTATAACTCCGGCCCTTCGGGCTCGCGTATAACTCCGGCCCTTCGGGCTCGCGTATAACTCCGGCCCTTCGGGCTCGCGTATAACTCCGGCCCTTCGGGCTCGCGTATAACTCCGGCCCTTCGGGCTCGCGTATAACTCCGGCCCTTCGGGCTCGCGTATAACTCCGGCCCTTCGGGCCGGAGTTTCCTTCGGGCTCGTATTACTGAGTATCCCAGATTCACAGATTTTTGTCGTGGAGGCGCGGGATAGACCAGGAGATTTTGGAGAATTTTCTTGTACTACTTTTTTTTGATCGCAACTGTACAAAATAGAAACAGACGTAATAATGGCAATAAAAAAAACAAAGTAAATATTGTAAAATCAAGCAGATCTGAACCAATAAAGGGACAAAATATAAATGTTTTAACCTTAAAAACACTAACTGAAGTATCTGCTCTGTTTCTATCAGGTTTAGTACCTGAAGCAACTGGTAACGACATTATGAAATTTCTAAGGGAAGAGCGTCTTGAAGTGGGATGCAGAAGTGAAAAAATATCAACCAAGAACCAAATGTATTATAGCTCATTTAGGCTTTATGTTCCTCGGGATGAGGTAGACAAATATCTTGACCCAGCACTATTACTAAAAGCCATGACAATAAACCATCAGGCGACAGAACGTTCTCTTCCTCTACAGTTAAAATGAAAGTCCTTCACATCAACGTAAAGTCATTGAGGAGGAAAACTGATGAGATAGAAGTATAGATACATCATAGACAAAAACATCGATATTGTCTGTGTAACTGAGCACTGGCTCAGGAAGTCATTCACATTTAAGGCTATTCCCTTATAAGTGGTTCATGTAGGCATGGAAAGATTGATGGTGGTACAGCCATAGTTGTCAAGGGCTCTCTTTTAGCAGATGACTGGGATTGTTTAACTTTTAACAAATTTTAATCTGAATGTTGGTAATTAATTGCTTAGAATTTTGTAGTGTATATGTAAGTTCTCTTAATATTCATGTTATAAATGTTTATAGGCCCCTATCAGGCTGTCTTGACAACTTTTTAGAATCCTTAGAGCAAATACTTATGAGACTGGTGGGCACAAGCAAGGAAATAATATTAGCTGGAGATTTCAATGTACATTTCAATACCAGGGAACCCGCTTGCGTGATTTGCTGGGAGGCTTTGAGCTGGTGCAGACTAGGGGTTAATTTTTATTTTATAATGTGTTGGAAGCTCAGATCTGGGACTTTGTGGGATCTGAAAGTGTAAGGGTGGAAGAGAAATTCAACATATTTATGCAAATTTTAGAGACAGCATTTTTTGACTGCTCTCCTGAGAGAATATATTTGGTCAGGGTAATAGGATTTCTTGACGGGGAATTGAGGAAAATAAGATGGATAGAAATCACG